TGGCGGTTCTGCTCAAATCATTAAGGATAGGCGTTTGGTACATTTATTTATTTTGAAACCACTATAAACTAGATATTTGGTAAAATATTTTATTTAGTTGTTTGGGACTAATGGATAGTGATTAAAGTCCAAATTGCTAATAGATTGAAAAATCTACATAAGGTCTTTTTTATAACAAATTGCTAGTGAATTGGAATTTGTTAATTTTATTGACAAATTTATTTATTTTAATTTTTTGCCACAATTTTTAATTAGTATTTATTCAATTAGTTTCAACGTTATTTTTTGTCTTTAACAACATTAAGTGATTATCATATTTTTATTTTTACATTAATTTATCATAAAAATATATTAACTTAATAAATAAAATTTCCTAATTAAACATAAAGATTAAAATTTTTTGTACTTTATTTAAAAATATTATAATTTTTTCTTTGTTAAAAATAGAATTTAGTGTGTGATTACACTATTATAATTTATTTTATTTATTTTCTTATTATTATTTTTATAAAATTAATAATTTTAATAAGAAGAAATACAAAAAGAAAAAATAAATTTAATTATTTTTAAACATGTCTTTATTAATTATTTAACGTTGAATAACAATAACTAACTATTGTATAATCGAATAATTATATTAATCAAATCTGCTATTTATATCCACTGTCTGCTACTCATTATTTGCTAACTATCATTTGCTATCCACTGCCCACTATTGCTACTCGTTACCACTACTTGCTACTTGCTACCTGCTATCTGCTACCTGCTACTTGCTATCTGTTACACAACACCAAGTATTTGTTGGATTTTAACTGTTATGCCAAATAGTCATAAATCATAGTGCGAGTGAAAAAAACTAGAGGAAATGCATATTATTGATATTTTTGAGCAACTTAATTGTTCACTACAAAATTCCTTGTTGACTCCTTAAAGTAGTCCTCATTCTATTTTTTAAAACTAAAGCAATTGTTAAATGGGCTGGGAAATGGGGAGTTCCCTGCGTTTTATTTTTGAAATGCCACTAAATGCATAAACTGACATGAGATGTTAGTGTGGTGGTGGGACATTAATGACTTTGTTTGTCTAGATTCTTTTTTAAAGACTTTTGCTTGCAATTCACTTTTAGAGTACAAGAAGCACTCTAACCTGATTTTAGAGTAATGGACATATAGCAAATTGAGGGAATTTACGGTCATTCTTGCTTTGGCTTGGTCTGTTTGGTCGCCAGGAATGCAGTTGTGTTCAAAAAACGATATACTTTCGAAATATACTAAAGCAACAGAATTTACTTATATTTGTAGAATTAGGACTTACACAATACGATCAGCATCTGCTGCGCTATATTTGGGCAAACACACGTATACAGCTCTTAATAACTATGTCTATATGCAAGTAAAAAAGCAGAGCCCAAATTCATTCCTCCAGCACCAGGGCCTACGTTGATAGGGCCACCATAAGCACCAGGCATGCCTGCGTAATTGACACTCCACATTCCACCACTTACGTGGTTAGATCCAGAACCTTGCCCATAGCTCTGGCCTCCAGAACCACTGCCCCAAGTTATTGGTTCCATTGTTGTTAATACTGTTGCCCCAAGCCTGAACGCCATTTCCCATGCCACAGAAGGTCGACATTTTCCTCACTTGAACTTATAATATCAAGAAATTTGATTGTTTTACTTTGCTTTCTTTGATGAATATTTGCCATCAACTCAGGTCCTTAAATAGACGGCGGATGACAACAAAAGCCATTGAAAATACATATGAATTAATGGAAATAGGGGGCAAAGTGGGTGTAGGCAATAGTAGAAGGAGAAGAGTATCAAAAATATGGGAACATATTGTATCCTTAGGGAGGGAAGGCAGTGAGATGGAGGAGATCGTGGGGAATAGTTTTGTTTGGGAGGTAGGTGAAGGTAATAGAACTAGGTTTTGGAAAGATGTTTGGCTGGAATGAAGAAATCTTGTGATGAATTTTCCAAGATTAAAAAATTTGACAAAAAATGTAGATAGAGAGATGGGGGAGTGGTGTGAGGGTGTTTGGAGGTGGAAGATAGATTGGAGGGAGTTAGTTGGGAGGGCTAGAGAGGAGGAGATATCATTATTAACACAGTTGGAAGGTGTAAGGGTAGGGAGGGAGTAGGATAGAAGAATTTGGAAACACGCTAAAATTAAGTGGAGATTATTCTATATGTACAGAAGGCCGTCTCAATGCTAATTGTTAATTAGAGAGTGTTGGATAGTGATCTATGCAAAGCAATATGGAATAATTTTTTTGCCTAGAAGAGCTTGTTTTTTGCTTGGAGACTGTTTTTGGATAGGCTACCAACTAAAATGAACCTGGAACAAAGAGGTATTCATGTGGGTGATCGAAACATCAATTGTGTGAGATGTAATGAGGAGGCAAAGGACTTGGGGCACATTATTATTAGATGCAGGTTCGCATACCAGGTGTGGATGAAATGCCTAAAGTGGTGGGGATTTTTTGCCATGCTACCAAATATAGTATAGGACGCTTATAACCAAATGGTGCTGGGCGTGAGTAAGGCAAGAGCAAGGAAAGTCTAGTCTTACCTGTTTTTAACCATAGCATGGTCTCTATGGAATGCACACAGCAATACTATTTTCAGTGCTCAAGGGGTTTCAGTGAGGGATGCTTTGGATAATATTCAAATTAGATCTTCCTTGTGGCTAAAAGGAAGGGTTAAGGGTTTTATCTCCACACTTTATGAATGGGAAAATAACCCTTCTGACTATGCTATGACAATTAGATAAAATTTAGTTTGAATGCTTGTATATGTAATTACAGGTTTGTTTTTTGGATGGTTCTTTAATTAGTAGATGTAATGAGTTTGAGGTATCCCTTGTACCTCTCTAATAAATTAATTTTTGCTGATAAAAAAAATGAATTAATGAAAATAAGAACCAGATTCTTGGACGACTACCTCATTATAGAAATATAGGGACATGGCATCTTCATAAATTTGGCTTGCACAATTTGTTCGCTCAATTGCTTATTGAGTCCTTAAAGCATTGAGATGCTAACAATTTGGTTCTTTTCTAGTCTCGTTTCTTTAATTTTTTGAAAAAACTTCAATTGTCAATTGTTAATTCAAGGGGACTAGGGAAATTGTACCATTGGTTTAAACTAGGAGGGACTTGAACGATCAACATTATAACCAAAAGGGAAAAATAACAATTCAACTATCATACTTTTAGTATTTATTCAATTAAGGCTTTGATCTGTCTCTTTTACAGATATCTAGCTCCTATTAATTACTCAATCTATTTAAACAATTCAAAATAAGAGAAATATTGCATGTGAACTTTAATTAACTCATGCAATTGGTAAATTTCATGTTTACCAACCCAGGATGTTTTAATCTATATACATATAATAAGTGAAATGAGCATTTATCCTCTCTTAAAATTAGGCTTTATCCTAGTTCTAAAGGCCATACAAATAAAGTGAAATGCCTCTTTTTCTTAATTAATTGTTGGGGACTGAGTGGGAAGTGAGTCTATATTCTCTGGTATTGGACGGCCTTAATTAATTTCTCGATTATTGATTAGAATTTATTTTGGTCTTTCGTGAGTCAGACTTTGAAATAAAAATTCCGCATTGGATGGTTATTAACATCTACATTTGTTCAAGAATCTATATATGGAGAGGAATTGACTTTGGAATTAAGGATTCCAATCTTGGATATCACAGTTTGCTTTGCCTTGCATGCAAAAGTATTTTAGATAATTCAAATGGAGTATTAATGCTAAGTAGTGTAGATGTATATATGCACAATATTTGAGATATTTAAAATGGATGCGCTCAAGCCTCTATGATTGTTTTGTGCGGTGCGGTTGCTCTTAATTGGTAATATTGGAAACATATTAAGAAAACATGTGAGGTGTAAGCATCCAGAATCCGACACGGACGTGGTGTCGACACCAGATGCGAGGGCTGAGCTTCCAGAACCCGACACGGACATAGTGTTGACACTTAATTTTAGTGTCGACACCAAAGGGAAAGGACATTTGACCATCTGAATCTATTCCTTTCAAGTGTTAATGTTTATGTGTTTGGGGTACCCCTTGTACTCCGTTTTTGTTTCAATAAATATCACTTTTTCTGTTAAAAAACAAGAAACATGTGAGTTGAAGGAATTTTATTTGATTTATTGTCAATTGATTTTATATTAGATGTAATTTTGTATTAAAACTCATATAATTAATTTTCACAAGATATTAGCGCCTAATATTTAATCTTGGGAAGCTTGAGATCCAATGACAGTTCGGGTCTGCACAATTGCACGGCATATCAAGCTGGTTTTTAGCTTGAAATTCATGTGATAGATCAGATCTGTATATGAGGAGGGCCTCTTAAGTCTATAACTTGAGATCCATGTGACAAGATTTGAAATTAATATTGAGTTTGCACATGAGGAAAGCATATTTTGTGAAAAAATTTCACACTGAAAAAATATTAAAAAGACATGTAAATTAAATACAAAAAAGATTATTGTATTTATTGTTAATTAATTTTAAATTAGATGTAAATCTTGTGTTGAAACTTACATGATACAAGTCTTGTGTTAAAACTTACATGTTCAATTTTTGCACTTTCAATTAAGCTATATTTGGTTTAACTGTTTTGAATAATCTATAGCTAATAGTGAATTTTCATGATTGATATTCTGATTATTTTTTTTTTTTTTGTAATTTCAAACACTAGCAACCATTAAATGTTAATTGTAAGCTACATACTCTTCATAAGCGGTCAAACCAATTGAGCCTAAAGTTTCTTCCTAAACTTAAAATAGATTTTTACAGGTCTTCTTGAGATAATTATGAATCAGAAAGCAGTTTTCTTAAAGATAGATTTTTTGCAGTTCGCACTTAAAAAGCGGCATTGTTTTCTCATGGTAGAAAAAAAAAACATGTTTTCTCTTCTTCTTTTCACTTTCGGGTTCAGAGATCTCTATTTTTTTTTTTTTTTCTACTCTTTGCATTCGATTCCAACCGGCTGAGCCCCTCCTGTCCAACAAGATTACTCCTCTTAACTTCTTCTAGTCTTACACAGAAAACCTTCTTTTTCAACTGGGAGTCTGTATGTTCGGAAAAAAAAAAAAGGGCAAAGTTTACGAAACCAGGATGAGGATGTAAATCAAGATTTTTGCTGATCAAAAAAATGAAAAAGATGTAAATCAAGATCTCGTATTTGCGCCGGAAGTTTACAGATGGGCTGTGAGGACCATGGGCATTTTGGTATTGTAAGCTATACTTATTCATTTTATACGAAATAGAGTATTCTTTGTATTTATACTCCAGTATATTAATAAAATATTCTTTTTATTTGCTGTTGAAAAACGATGTAATTTATACAATATGACATAGCAGCAGAATAATTTATTTATATTTTGTAGAATTAGGACTTCCATAATTAACACCATCAGTGTCTGCTGCTGTATATTTAGGCAACAAACATACTACTCTTAAGAAGGTGGTCTATATCCGGACCACAAGTTGGCTGCTGGTCCATTGAAAGTGTTAACACTTCCAGAAGCAGCGCCGGAGTTCACTCCTCCAGCACCAGGGCCAACGTTGATGCGGCTACCATAAGCACCACTGACACTCCACATTCCACCACTGACATGGTTAGATCCAGAACCCTGGCCATAGTTCTGGCTTCCAGAACCAGTGCCGAAGTTATTGGCTCCATTGTTGTTGACACCGTTGCTCCAAGCCTGAACGCCATTTCCTGTACCTCCGAAGGTCGACATTTTTTTCACTTGATACTTAAATAAATTTGATTGTTTCGCTTTTTGCACTCTTTGATGAATATTTGCTATCAACTCAGGTCCTTATATAGACATAGGAGGAGAACATAAGCCGTTCAAAAATGAGTGGTTAATGGAAATAAGCACCTGATTCTTGGACCACTACTTCTAGGTCAATATATATATA